ATGAAAAAACATAAAATGAGTCCCTACCATCACTTGTTTCCAGTAACTCAGGCTTCAGTACAGGACTCTTACAGTTTTAAGGAATTTATTCCTCCTCCCAAACATCAATATTGAAAAAATTTACCAGCGTATTGATTCGTGATAATTTGTATAACGATCAAGATTACTATTACAGGACTACCACATGTCAAGATAAGAACCATTTGACATCTTACTGATGAAGGATATATTAGTTATCCGAAATATTTAACATTTGTTAATGATTTTTTTTTTGTTTTGGTGATGTTGTATCCTTTTAGACTTGCTTATTATAATTATATATCTAATATACCCTCATTTTCCAATGGCAGTCCAAATTTCTCCGACCTCCATCCCGGACGGCCTCTTTTACAGGACCTACTTATTGGATTTATTGTTAATTTTTTCTCTTGTCCTGAACATGCATTGAATATTTGCACTGGACGGTTAAGCAACCAACAATCAATCAATCGAGTCCTTTGTTAGGCAACGAATATTGCAATTGTAGGATTCCTTCGTCCGTTTTTATTGATTTCCGAGTCTGTCATAGTTTATTTAAAGACATGCTAGCCGTTATTACTGACGAAGAAGCACCGTCTAAGTGCAAGTTGCAATACATAGGTGATGGCACAGTTTGGTATTTGATTTTGCATATATATATGATAAAAAATATAACATAAATACCGAATTCCAAGGCAAATTTACAAAAGGGTAAGTCCATCATAAAAACTGACAAAATCAAACGATATCAATCAACGGAACAAGTGAAAAACTGCCATATGCCTGACTCGGTATAGACATTTTCCGAAGAAAAGGGTGGGTTAAACCTGGTTTTATAGCTAGCTAACCCTCTCACATGAATGGCAGTTGTTTATAAACATTATATTGACAAAATTGGGTGAGCAAAACACAAACCCAAACCAAGGATTTGTATATATATACTATACAAATCTTTGCCCAAACAGACGTAATAGGTTAATGTGACAATCGGGATCCAGCAGCCAAAACTGTGTAAACATACATCACAGACATACAACACAACTGACTAAAAATTTCAAACAAACATACAAATTAATCTAAGAGATGCCAACAGAAAAGGTGTAAATTTACAGTGACGCGTCAACAAAACATGTTTTTGTCGTTGATAGTACATACCGTATATAATATACACTTTCTCGATGAAGTAAAAATTAAGTAAGTATAAATGAGAGGGTATAAACAAAATAGAAACAACACTGTAAAATCCTTTGTGTCCAAATCGCACCTCAGGACCCACCTGCAACAGTAATGCACAAAGTTCAAAAGTAAAAAATCCGATGCCGGGATGCATAAATACCGAGCCACGTCAAAAGTCATACGACCAAAAGAAACATAAAAGTACGAAGAAAAATAACGGGGAAACTAAAGTATAATAAAAAGTTACACAACTTCAGCACATGTAATCTATAACGCAAGACCATGAACACGGCATGTTTTACCCGATTTAAAAATATGAAAAATTTAATTTATCTCTTTGTTTCTCCAATTTTATATTCTTGAAATAGGAAGAGGGCTTGTATTACCGTGAGAAACGTTCTGGCATTGTTTAAAAATCATAATTTCTTCAAAACTGTTTTTTTATTCATAGACGTTTTTAAGAAATTGATGTGTCCATTTTCATGATATAAATTAGTAACAAGGTCGCCGAATTCGTATTTATGTAAATGTGTTTGAAGTGAAAAGATGAGTGGATGAAATATCTTACCTGCTTTTATGATTGAATCAAAACCGTATATTTTGACACTTTAGAGATAAAGGGTCTTTCTACATGCACCAAGAAAACTTAACGTTGATCAACATGAAGTTAATGTCAGGCTATAACCATGTACCACACTCTGGCATGATGTATATTTGATACATTTTAATGATGTTTTTTATTTGATGATTTATAAAATCATACGTAAACTGGGGTTGCAACTCTATAAGACAAGGCATACCTTTATGGTTTTGAGTCTGATTCATAAACTTTGATTTCACGAGCATTAGGAATAGGAAGAAAATCGAGGATCCATCTAGCCTTTCTCCTGTTTCGAAGCGAGTTCAGATAAATTTGACATTTTCCGGTAGTATGAGTATACTGCTTGTATCTTTCAGCTTAATATTAATACTTTAATGTTTAGAAATTAATTCCAAATCGTTATTTTTTTTATTTTTTTTGTAAAGTCGAGCGCTGTATACTTAAATTCAATCGCTGTATATTTAAAGTCAAGCGTTAAAGATGTCTAGTCCAGGGCTGGAGATGCAAAGTCAAGCGCTGGAGATGTTGAAGATAGCGCGGTAGATCTAAGTCAAGCGCGGTAGATCTAAGTCAAGCGCTTTAGATATAAAGTCAGTCCAACGCTGAAGATCTAAAGTCCAGCGCTTTAGATATAAAGTCCATCGTTAGATTTTACATATACCGCGCTGGACATAAGATCTACTGCGCTGGACTTCACATCTCCTGCGCTGGACGTTTAAAAACGCAACTCTTTATCTGTAGGAGACGAACAATGATCTGTAATGATCCAATATTAAGGAAACTAATATGATTGATTGCCTTTATAGTTACAGACAGTTTATGTATATAGCAGCTAGTTTTTGATACCAGAATGTTTCTTCTTTTTATTGGTCCGACACGAACACTAACTTGTGTGTAACCTGTCATGCATCTAACCATGACATAGCTGCATCACTAGAATGCAAAGAAAATAACCAACATGTGTCTAATAATAACTTATGTGAACATTTATAATAAAATCTAAGGACAGCTCGACATTTGTGATATACAAGCAATCTACCGAACGCGAAGAATGCATATAAATGTCATAATTTACCCTTAATGAGCTGTTGTATCAGTTAATAAGAAATGCTCAAGATATTCCAAGACAACAATGGTTTCTGAACATAACAATATTTCAATGTTGTCCGTTTTAAATTATATTCGTTTTATTCTAGCTGTTATTTGCCCCTTAATGTTTTTTTAAGCTCGTTGTTTGTCAATTATTTTAAATTCCAATTATTTTGCTGTTGTCTACATATTAAAACGAAACCCTCCATTAGTATCATCGTTATAGGATTTGGTCAGTTTGGCCAAGTTATCTCATTTCATGCATTTTTTCTCACCAAACAACATTTAACATAACATTGAATAGAACCCTATAATATGGAACTCATTATAGTGTTCATAATGTCAGCGAATTAGTAATATTGAAAGTCTTCAATAAAATAAAAACAAAAATATTATTGATAAGCTGTGGCGTTATTGCAAGTGGTCTGCATTAAGGACATTTTTATCAACTTTCTGCATAAGACCATGGTTACCATGCAGAACTAACATAAGTATCAAACTAAGGGGCAATAGTTACAAGTCGTATATAAAAACTAGGCTGACAAGGCCACTTCCATGAAAAAGAAAATAGAAAGGGGGTTTAGTGTTCAAGGAAAGGGATGCGTAAATGTTCATAATGGTTAAATTGTCGCCGAGCATGTCGAGGTAAAAACTTTTTTTGACGATTTAATGGAAAATATGATGTTTTTTTCCGAACAAGGGTGAAGTGGACGAACGCCCTCTTCCTCCACTCCTCAAATTCGCTACTGATAAACATGCATGACACTAGAGATTCTCTTTTGGGTATAAGTCTAGTAGTTTGGTCGACATGCATCCTTTATGGATCACATTAAGTTGATCATCACTAGGGGAATCCTACTTCTCCATTTGCAAAACTGGCATGCTGTACTTGATCTCTTAGTATGTTATACAGTTTGTTACATAGAAGGTTTGTATAGTCTTCCAACAATACGCTGACCGCATAGACATCTAGGGATGTATAGCCGGAAACTGAGCACATGTGAACTTGAGTGAACCGGGCCAGCCAATCCGAAAGGGCTGGTACAGGTCCGTCTTTAAATGTGGCCATTTTTAGATTAATTGCAATCAAATAAGGTAATTACTTGGTTTACATTGGATACTATAACTACTGCAACTTTGAATACTAGTATTTGCTTTGGTCTGTGATGTCTTTATCGACCGCCCAATGCTTTTGACTGCAAGGTAAATTTAAACCTTATTAATAAAAAAAACCTCGTAACTTAAATTTCGGTCATCTTGTACAGTCAGTCGCCTTGTAATTTTAACGGGTTGTTTGGTCAACATTAAGAAAACAGTTTTTTAACATCCTTTTGTTTCAGTTTCAAACATTTGTAAGCTAGGATAAGTTTGCCTTGTTATAAATTCTCTCTTCTTCCAAAACAAACATAGTGGTAACAGACTGATGTAGGTGAATTCCCATCCAACATGGGAAATCTGCTACATGTATTTCAAAGTTTATGAAAATAAGAAGATGTGGTATGATTGCGAATGAGACAACTAATCAGCAGAGTCCAAATGATGTAGAAGTTAGCAACTGTAGGTCACCACCAATGACCCGGGAGCATATAAAAACGTGCAAAGTGAAATCAAATTATTTAAACACGATCCAAAAAATTATCCCTTAATATGAATAAAATGAGAAGTGGGGTATATGCCAATGAGACAATGATCTAACGACATAAAAAACCATGATAGTCCGAAGTAAACAGACACACACAGTGTCAATAGTGCAATTTCTGTTGTAGTTGGAACATTTAAATCTTCAAGATACAAACACAACACAAGTCAATCAATTAGAAATCAGCGAAACTGACAGGCAGGCCATCAACAAGGATTTTACATAAAAAGAGAATAGAGATGGCAAAGATTTTTTTTTTTCAAATTCATTTACGTCGGTTAAACGGATATTAGTTAATGAGCTAGCTACTCAACAACAAAATCACACCCAAACGTTGTTTTGAAAGATTGCTGGCGATGTCGACAATTAATTCCCTGTTTTGCAAACATGTAGCATAGCAAATATATAATACAATGACAGTCTGCTAATGGAAATTGTAACAGACTTATGGGATAAGTCTAAAATAAACTCAATGCAGTTGATCAATTTTTTATTGAAGCAATGTCAAACTATATAAATATAACCAATAAATTTCAATCTTTGCTTTTAGCTCCATGGTGTTGTAATATATTTCTTTTTAATTACATTATAGAAAAAAATATAAATATGAATAAAACAAATACAGGGTTAAACGTCAATAAGACAATTACCCAGTAGTACAAACATACCAAATATAAAAAGTTTTGAATCTTTTATAAAAATTTGAAAAGTTCTGATAATCAAATGTTGAAAAAAATATATTATCTGAAATCGTCAGGAAATCTTAAAAAAATATATGTTCTGTGCTATTATGCAGCAATTAGACTATTTATTTTCCTACACTCTCTCCTACACCTACAAAATTATGAAATCCTTATTTACAAAAAAATCATATTAAAATTGCCCTAAAAAATGTATAATATGGTAAAAATGAAATGAATTTCATGAGAAAAAATTTAATGATGATCTGTCAACAGTTGTTGAGAGAACGTTTTAAAATGACAGTAAAAATACCATATTTTATAAAAATATAAAAATTCAAAATTATTGGCAAAAATAGTATATAAAAATAATAAATACTTGCCGATAAAACCGAGAACAACACTGCAAACAACATACAATAAATAAATAAATAAATAACACAAATTTAAAAAATGACGCTTTTAAGTTCTGATTTAATGTTCAAAAAACGTTTCAGCACTTATTTTAATGTGCCCAGTCTGCAGATCATATTCTGTACTGCCATTAGCACTTCCATGCAATAAATAACGTATAACCACAAAAAACTACACACACCTCAATAAATAAATAAATAAATAAATAATCAAAATAAAAAGAACAAATACAAACAAATAATTAATAAGTAAATTAAATTATAAACTCTAGCTGCTGTAAAATAATGTCATACAATGTGTTTTTTTCACGTTTTTTCTTGGTTGTACATATATAGTTCACATCATGTTTTGCTTGATGAACCTTTTCTCAAATCTTAATAACATTATAAACACTTGAAACACACACATTTTTAAAAGACAAAGAAGTTAAAGTAAATCGTCAGATTTTTGTCAAATACACACAGGACAAAACACACACTTTTACAAGAAAAAATCAAAGAGTTTGACTCTTTTGTATAAAAATACCTAAAATGACATTATGATAGTGCCTTTTAAAGACAGGATTAATCCTATTTTAAATGTGCTTTGCATATTAAAATGTATGAGCTAGTGATGAAATGATAAATTTTTCCTACTTCAATAAAAATACACGTGCTGCGACAGAGGAATGTCGGAACTTCTCGCCGTCGCATCCTTCTAAAACAAGTTATACGTATTAAAATAATTAAACATGTAGTTAAAAGGAAAGATGAAAGTCGCTTACAAAAATGTATTTTAAAATGAGTGGAATGTTTCTGTCTGGTTGTTCATTTTTACGGAATAGAAAAATAGAAGAAAATATAATATTAAATTGGTCCTCAAATTATTACTGGTGTCGCCTGCTATTGTAATCATCATTTTACCAAGAGTTTCTTTCGTGTTCATCTACAAACATGATTTTTGTTGGTTCTTGTAGCGCGATTCCTTTCCTTGTTCTTTTGTGTACACTTCTCTGTCCACGCATACAAGACGACTCTTCGTGCTTATACAAGTAACTCTTTAGAGCAAAAGCCTTCCCACATCGCCCACACTCGTAAGGCTTTTCTGTTGAATGTGTCTGCACATGTGCACGCAAATTAGACTTGTCGGCGAAACATTTGGAGCACTGTGGACAGGAAAAGGGTTTCTCGCCCGTATGAGTACGAATATGACCCTGCAGCAACCATGGTCGACTAAACTTCTTCCCACAATATGGACATTCGCAACCTTGATTGTGTGTTCGGACATGCATGCTAAAAGCTGGCATAGACACGTAAACCTTGTCACAGTGTGGGCATTGTCGAGCTTTCTTGTCGGCAGAACTACGATGTGTTTGGCGATGTCGCGCAAGATTGCTCGATGTACTGTAACGTTTTCCGCAATCCGCGCAGGCAAACATTTCTTCTGTCTCAATAAATTGTGCTTTTTCATCTTGGGATTCTGTATTTCTCAATGTTGAAGATTGATAGTTTGACATACTAAAGTCCAATGCTCTTCGAACTTCTTGATGTTCTTCAACAACTGTTTCACGAACAACTGGTTTTCTTGGACTAAAGAAGTCAAATAAAAGCGAAAGGTGTTCCGAGCAGTGGTACGCGTAATCAGATTTTGGTGAATATTCGTGACGGCTATCTTCGCTGATCAATGATATCCCACTATCACTTTCACCATCAGAGACATCGTATTGTTTTGTTTGTTTGAACAAGTTTTCTGAAATAGTACTTTGGTGCTTACCATCCAGTCTGTTTTCATATGTGTCGCCATTTGTTTCGAAAGAATAGTGCGCCTGGCGTGGTGTGGAGCTGAACTGAGTTGTCTCAAAAGTACGAAATCTTTCTTTTTGCTTAATAATTGGTAAAGTATACTCTTTCCTCGTGACCTCTGTTCTGACTGTATTCGAATTAGCATCACTATTGTAGCTTGATGTTTCCCATGTCTCGTCTGTCTGTAACAGTGGTAAATTCACGACCCTGTGTTCTTCGTTAATTATGCTAACAGTCTCATTCTGGTTAGTGGTATGGGTTGATTCCTGTGGCAATACTCCTATAAAAAAGATAAAAAGTGGTGAAATATGTGACATTTGTATATGGCTAGTTTGACTCAGTTAAGTACTTAGTATATAAACTAGGAAGGTTTCACCACAACTGAAATGCAGTTTTCTTTGTATATCATACAGCTGTCTCCTACATATAAAATAATCACATTATCGAATATGTCCACTTTTACCTGGACATTTTTACTGTGCGACTTGACCTATAGTAATTCATCTGTTTTTTCGCTGGTTAGATTTCGGTTGAGAAGTTTTAGCCCACCCAATTTTTGTCTTTTTATTTCTTTGAGGGGTGGACAAGGGGTTCCTGATTCACACTTCCCCTACCCCAACTCCCATTTCATCTTCTTCTGCCAATTCCATCCCCTTTATTGCCAAAAGAAACTTTTCTATTTACATCACCTCTTCTACAGGTCCCTCACCCTCTTCCCCGGTTTTCGTCCCCCGACTACCGCTTTCCTTCTCCTCATTCCAATGTTCCCTTATCCCTGAAGTAAGATCTTTGGTCTTTATTCACAACATGCATGTTAAAGATGGGAAGCGATTAAGAGCTGTGGTTGGGACGTTTGTCCATCGAAATGTTTTATGATAGTTTGGTTTTGTTTTTTGGGGTGGGCTTGGGGGTTGACAGATTGTCATTTTCAACGAGAGAATATTTTTTTCATAGATCAGCCTTTAAAAAGTAGTGTTCTAATGCCTAAAATTGCGATTTCTTCTTTCTCTCAAAAGCATCACAATATGAAATGCTATAGTATTCGTGTTGTCATTAAGATAACTCATATATATGTGTCTTGATTGATTACTGTTTGCTTAACGTCCAGTTGCAGATATTTCATGCATGCTCAGGACGACATAGATGCTTCTTAAAATATAGGTTGTAATCAATCAGTTAATCATGTAAAATGAATGCCACATTTAAAACGAATAGATCTGATGAGGGTGACACGCTATGGGGATTTGGGATATGTTGGGGGGGTGTAAAAAGTGGTATCTGGGAAAAAAATTACAAAATAATGGGAAGTTGGAAAGTTAACAAAAAAGCGGGATTTAGGAAATGAAAATTAACCCCGTGTCACCTCCCCCCTCCAGTTCAGTTTTCACTTAGACAAATTTGTATACTGCCAATACACTGAAACAGAGATAATTCCTTTTTTGCATTTAAGTTGTGATTTTAGCTTCAGTGGTAATTCATGTGGTGCATTAAAATTAATACCGTCAATGTTATCATGTATCTGTTTCGTTTTTAGATTTTCTTAAATTTTCATAATAATCATATATCACTTGTTTTTTTGTTGTTGTTGTTTTTTTTTTTTTTTTTGCAAATGGGGGACTCGCTCCAATGGAAACAACTCGTAGTCTCAAAACATCACTTATCCTGATCATTTCCTATTGTGGAAAATGACTGAGCCGATTACTCTTTTACTGGTAAAGTCGTTGCACTTATCCAGGAAATAAAAACCACATAAAGGTGTTAATTTGAAAAGTTTGGTTAGATAATCAGTAAAAAGCATTCAGGCTGATAATTTGTATAATTAACAGACCAAGGCTTCCTGCTGGAAATTGATTCCATACGGTACTACTTACGGCAGAGTAAACAAACTATGAATGACACGACCACGTGATCGATTTGTGAACAAAGAGAAAAGTCGGAAACTGGACAAGTGTTTATTTAACAAGTTGCAAAAGAAATGTGTTTAAACTACGTTCATCTTGATGAACTAAGGATGTTTAGTGCTTATAATAAAAAATTCAACATTCAGAAACTGAAGAAAACATGTAAAATTATTTTTTCCAGAGATTTAAAATATCTTTAGTGCCGGCTTTTAATCTCAATGTTTAAATATCCAGAGGTAACAAAAAAATCTGATAAATATTCAAATGATAAAATATGCAAAATATTATTGAAATACTCACTTTAGAGGAATTTATGCAGAATTTTTGTTTTTAATTTGTTTTTTGTTTTTATTTCAGCAAAAATTAGTATATAGTACTTTACAAATCCTTGATATCAGATATTTGCTGAGATTTTGTTCTATTACGAGAAAATGTATAATTAGTATGTGTAAATTCTAACCTGATTAAAATTCGATCTTACCTTCAAAAGAGTTGTCATTTGTCCCACTTCCATATTGTTGTTTGTAAGCTGTAAATCTCTTGTTGGTAAATAAAAAAGACTTTGGCATCTTTAACACAGACACAATACTAAAACAAGCACAATCAGACAAGTGTCACAACCTCTCCCGTCAGTTCATCTTATCATTCTGATTCTCTTCGGAGGGATGGCTTGCAAGTCTCCTCAAATTACCATACAGCCACCGACAAGCACACGCATAGGTTTGAGTTACAGAGGAACTGAATGAGTGTGACAGGCGCACGCGAGTGTGTTTACTACTTTAAATATGAGGTCACACTTCATAGCAATTAATCTCCTTAACATCAGTTTACCAAATGGTTGCAATATGTAAAAGCTTATCAGTGTCAAAATTTTTCTCAAAACTTTATGAATGAAATATAACAGGTTACATTAAGGAATGGTATATCTAAAATTCCTTGCAATTAATCAATGAATTTGATTTAATTAATCAATGCTGAGAAAAGAGAGCGGGACTTGGACATTAAATTTAGATTGATAGAAGGATAAGGAATGAAAGAAGTATTAAAACATCTTGGATTTACGTAAATAAACATTTATCTATTGGTCCCAATGTACATATTTAACTTTTCAATCTCAGTCCATTACAAGTAATCATCCTTGCATCACACAAACATGGCTATCTACTGCACCAACACCAGCTGGTCACAAAAGAAATACCCTGGTCACAACGGTAACAGTAAGCTATTTTCAGTCTTTTTGGTCCGTTTGTTTTTCTAGTTTGATAATTCCTCCTATCTTTATTTTTTGTTGTTGTTATTATTTGTATTTGTCACAAGTATCTTGTTTACTTTTATGACAACAAAGAATTTGTAGGCGACCGAATTAGCGCTTTTCTGGAGTAACCTTCATCAAGAACGCTCAAAGCCGCCTTATTTGAAAGCCATATGGGTGTATAAAAACCGAAAAAGTTGAAAAGCTATATGACCAAAAAGTACATACAAATAATATCAAAATCCATCTAAGGTCAACTGTGCCTTAGGGAGGTGAAACAAGTTGTCTTATTTCAATTAATACCAACAACAATACATCACATCTCATTTTATTTTAATTTCTGCAAATATTGGAGAAGATTCTACTTCTCAAACCACTAATGATGAACTCTACAAATATGTTCAAAGCTATAAAGGAACCAGCTATAAATTTAAGTAATCGTTGGTACTGATTATTACGATGCGCGTAATTGTTTTCTCTTATGTAACTTCCAGAGAAAGCATAGAAAATTACTTATAATATAATGTATGTGTTTCGAATACAAATGCATGATATCCATCTTGGATTTGAACTTTGCCCTATATTCATTAAAAAAATTCATTTTGACCATACATTATAAACAATTCAGTTGATAACTGAGTTTTTCAATTTGGGCAATGCATTTCTAACGTAGACCTAAAATCTCGTTATTTTACAACATGGCGAAACGATTTCTGTACCTTCCAAAATTTACTTAAAAATTTGTTATATCCCTCTTTTGTATGGTAGAGTTGACTGGTGCTCAGTGTAGAGAAGGTGATATCTTTTTTTCTTCTCCATAAGGCTACACCTGTAAATAAACAACACCTATATAGTGCAAATGAAAAAAACATATTTAGGGGCGGATCCAGCCATTTTTAAAAGGGGGGTTCCAATTATATGTCCCCATTCAAATGCATTGACCGTCAAAAAAAAAGGGGGTTCCAACCCCCGGAACCCCCCCCCCCCCCCCGCCCCCTGGATCCGCCACTGATATTTGTTCAACAGTGAAACCCATGCAGGGAGGAAGAGGGATACCGCAGCCATATTCGGAATTGAAAAACCCATAGAATAAGAATAAGATTATGAATAAGAATAAAAATATTTTATTGTTCAAATAAAGGGCTCTTGATGGGTAGAATGAAATATACAAACATAAAACAGTACACCATGATTTTGTATATTTTTTTTACACTGAAATGAAATATAAAATGTTGATATAAACCTATTTATAACTATCCCTATATATTTGGAGAATACAACACTCTGAACGATCGAATAACTTTGCAGGACATAATTAATTTAAACTAAAAATTTAAATTGTATTTATCGTTTACTGCAATTGGCTTAAATAATATGCGTGGGATATTACAGGCCTTTGTTTCACAAAAGATTGAACGATCAAAGACCAGTAATATTTCGTATTTATCAAAAGTCGGAGCTCATATATACACACCGGATTATGAGTGGCCGTTCATGTCATTTGCGCGATTATATACGCGTATATAATTTTATACGCGTATATATACGCGTATATTACCTACATATACGCGTATATTGTGGTTTTTAACGCGTATATGGCTGTCATATACGCGTATATTGTGGTTTTATACGCGTATATTGTTAGAAAAAACACGTTTATACTTTATTCCAATTTATTTATCATATACGCGTTAATATACGCGTTATTTGCGTAAATATACGCGTTAATATACGCGTTATTTGCGTAAATATACGCGTATGAAATCATTATATACGCGTAAATAAACATTCGTTTGTCTTATTGTTTTAACCAATGAAAACTGCGTTTTTAAACTGGTTTGTATTTGACAACTGATGCCATATAACGAATATGGCTGCCAACTTTAGCGGAAACGGGGACAGAGAGAGATTTTTGAAGAGAGTAAAAGAGACCGTTGATGATTGTTTCCGGCTTGGGACGACTGACGCCATACAAAAACAGATGTTTCAAATGAATTTTATGATTTGTTTTTCTATATGGAACTTAAAAATATATTAGAAATCACAAATGATTATCACCTATATGTTCTCCATTATGTTTTTCTGCCAAGGATAAATGAAAGATTAAAGTCCTTCGCCTTTCAATATAACAACCATCCAGTCTCAACTGAACACAATAGGAGCCCAAATCAGCTGTTCATACAAGGTGTGCTTACAAACGCTATGTCCAACTTAAAGTCCATAGAGGAAGAACTTGAGGATGCTGGATCCACCAATGACAGATACTATCAAGACCTGCTAGAAGAATATGGAGTTGAAGATAATGATAATGGTGGTAGTGATAGTGAAAACGATGTCGATGCAATTATTTATGTTGTTGATGTCAATATACCTGGAGACAAACGTCAAAAGATATGTGAAGAAGTTAACCCATTGTCAAACATTTCATCACTTGAATATGGGGAGGAATTGTTTAAAATCACCGTACAATTTCTTGATCTTGACTAGGACATGACCTGAAGAATCCCTACCACCTTTTGGTATATGACCATAGAACAATTAGTAATGTGATATCCATGTTACCAAAACATTATTATATAATTAATAAAACTCTTTTAAATCACTATTACCGAATTCACATTACTAGGCCCATACTACCTGCCTTTTTTTTTATTTCTAAACTTGGCATCCTGGTTTTTAATGTTGTGCTCTAAAACACATACTTCTAAAAAAAAAGGTTCATTGGAAGAAACCAAGACCTTGTTGATAAATATTCCGTCTAAACTTCACAAATAATACACGATGGTCTTGAAGTATAAATTCTAGGTACTGACTTTGTTTATCATCTTAATAACGTGTTATTATATTCTTTTATTAGCCTTTGTAATTTATTACTCGAACTGTTTAGCCTATTTTTGGCAGTGCTCATTTGACATGGCTCGGTACGTGGACATCCCGTCATAGTGCTTATTGCGCTGTGGTATTCTTTTCTTTTGGTTTTGTTAAGGCGCATTGTCTATATGCCTTTTTGTTTGTGTAAATATAAAAAAGAAGATGTGGTATGATTGACAATGAGACAACTCTCCACATGAGACCAAATGACACAGAAATTAACAACTATAGGTCACCGTACGGCCTTCAACAATGAGCAAAGCCCACACCGCACAGTCAGCTATAAAAGGCCCCGAAATGACAATGTAAAACAATTCAAACGAGAAAACTAACGGCCTAATTTATGTACCAAAAATGAACGAAACAAATATGTAACACATAAACTAACGATAACCACTGGATTACAGGCTCCTGACTTGGGACAGTCACATACATCGTTTGTAAATTTTGCTTCTAAAGAAAGAACAATTTGTCCTTCTGCAATTTTGACAACATAATCATAAATTTACTATCTGAAATACAGAGTGAGTTCATACTTAACATAGTTTCACTAAAAAGAACATATCATATGACATAGAAACTTTCCCATGTGGTTTTTGAAGAATAAATTAATTCAGGCTACCGAACCATTAGTTATTTTCATTGCAAGATGTTGTGTTTTTGTCCACTTATTGTCACATGCATCTCAATGATATCCTACAAATTGCCCGAAACTGAACAGGCAATTTGTTGAATTGTGTTTCAAAATTTCAGTCATTTTACAAATTGCCTAAATTTAGAAAATGCCTGTAACATATACAAGGAATACAAGGTCATGGCGTTTCTTATACCAGAGGCGGATCCGGGATTTTAGGTTTAAAGGGAGGGGGCGCAAACTTAAATTTTCGCCGAGCTCCGAATTTTTTTAGGTAAAATTATCGAAATATTCATTATTAAGCTGAGGACAACCCATACTTTGCAAATTTTTTTTGGGGGGTGGGGGAGGGGGCGCACGCCCGCCCCTTATGAATCCGCCCCTGCATACTGTTTATTACTAAATTCTTTGGTTGTGTACTGACTGATACTTTAGTCTGGGAGAACAAGATTTATTTCAATGTTAGTTGTAATTGGCTTTGAACAAACGTTTAGTATTAAACTCCAATACTCTTATTTCGGTGCTTTGTGTCTATTGCCTTAATGTTAGTTGTTTCTTTTGAGTTATTCTAACTGCAACTGGCCGGATTTTTACAGTTTGTTCTTATGTTGTACTGTTACACCACTATCCCAATTTAAGGAAAAGTTGAGCGCTCACAGATATGTGCTTGTCCCAAATCTGGAGCCTGTATTTGTCACTGGACGTTAAAAATAAGCAACCAACAATCAATCAATTTAAACTCGTGATTATTTAAGGGGAAAACCAATTAGTATTTATTTTTTTTGGGGGCGATGGGTGGAAGACAGGAGGATTTTGAAAATGAATATAGTGGCCTAGCAAGACCTAAAAAAAAATAGGCCTGATTAGCAATAGATTAAAATGAATAATAAATCTGCAAAAAATCCTCCTGCCCCTTTCCCTCCCCAGATTACCAAATAGTCGTCCCCTTACTGTTATTGTCCGTGTAGTTCTTACATTTATCCAACTTATCATCCCTACTAAG